TTTTACTTGTAGAAAAGATTTTAGGCTTAGCTTGGGCCCAATGGATGATAAAAAGGATATTTTTTAAGTGGTGACTAAAATCAGAAGGACCAAGAAAGTAATTTAACCTTAAACTTTCCCAAAGGTTGAATCATTTTAATGAATGATGATGTCAACATGGGGGAAAGTTAATATCTCATTTTCTCTAAACACTTTGTCTTCTTCTTCATCAATTCAAACTCTTTCTTCTCTATCATCTTAAGAAAGGTATGAGCTTTATTCTATTACAACCTTACCCAGAAGTATCAAGGTAAGAAACTCAATGTCCTCTTTTTAGGCTTAATTTCAAGCCTTCATTTGTAAGTTTTGGTTATGGTAGCCAAATTTGTGGAGTTTAAGAGAACATTAATTATCCAGTTCATTTGTAAAGGATTTCAATTTAAGAAGTGTTTTTAATACATTTTCAAGCTCCCAAACACATTAGTAATCCATAAGTTTAATTATTGTCTAATGAGAGAAGTTGGAGAAAGCTCCAAGTACAAGGGAAAGGAAAAACTCACCCTTGGTTGAGTTGAAGAAACTCCTAGCAGCTTGGGACTCAAGGTAACTCACTTTCAACTCAACTCTATCACATGTAGATCACTATATGAGTTTATTAGCTTGCATGAGTCATAGAGCATGTTCATTGTAGATTTTAGTGTTTGGTGTTTCTCAACATGTTTATTGACTTATTATGACCCCTATTATCATGCATAACACTTTAATAATGTTTGGGGACCTCAGTATGACTCATGAGAGTGTTGGAGAGGCATTTTCATGCCCAAAATAAAGTATTATGGGCTCGAGTATCTGTACTGGGAGAACAATACCAATACTATTCATAAATTGGCTTGCAACAAAAGGGTTTTTGAGAGAAAGTATCGATACTGCAGGCTCAATTTCGATACTAACATAGTAGTATCGATATTGAGCATCCTTTGCAGATTCCAAGTGTCACTTTTGGTATCAGTACTTATGGGAGTATCGATACTAAGGTATTTTTCAAAACATCGAAATTAAATTTGGTATCGATACTCATGACAGTATCAATACCACATACCAGAAGTATCGATACTTCAACTAGAGTATCGATACTAGCTCATATTTCTCAATTTTCTATAGTTAATAGTATCGATACCCAGAGGCTAATGTCGATATCAAGAGGTCATTACCGATATTGAAGGGGCTTAGTATCGGTACCCACAAACAATTTTAGGTAAAAAAACCCCCAAGGATTTTAAGGGATAGACTTGAGGAGCCAATAATACAGAACACCATGAAATAAAATTAAAAGTGAGAAGAATAATAAACTTAATACAACTAGAAACAATAACAACTATGATGACATAAAACTAGTCGGGCGCAAATAGCGATAACGATCGCACAGTTCGAATATCCTAGTTAGTGCCAAGACACTTCAGTTGCCAATTGGGCGCAAATGCTCCAAGACTCAACAGAGTAAGTTAGCCAGAGGTACGTTTCTTATGTAGTTCCGGATCTCACCCCAGATACCTGAGGGTATTTTAGGAAGGCTAGAGGGGTGTGTGAGCTCTGAGATGCATAACTCTCAGCCACACCATGATGCCTACCTCAGCATATCATATCAATATTCTATGTCTTCATATATATGCCACTAGCGTGCTCATTTAGTGAATGCATGTAGTATAATACATTTATTGGTGTGACACTGAGCTCGTAAGCTTAGCATTCGAAATGTTTTTCATGCGCATGTTCTTAGGAGACCATCCGCGGGGAGTTATTGTCACCAAATATTCTAACTCAGTAGAGATCTTCAGAGTAAATATTAATAATGATTATCTTTTAGGGATTAGTTAATACTTAGCACCATAGCTAGGTAGACGCGTGGCGATTGATGAATTTTTGTTGTTGTTGTAAAGAGGAATATGTTAATATGTTATCCACATGAACTTCATAATACATAGGAATTCTAAACACCAACGTTGAGCATAGACTCACTTCGAACATTAAACTAGGGAACTAATGCAAGGACTTAATGGTGCCTATGGATATAATAAAAATATTTAATCCAATTAATGATAGAGACGTGATATAATATCAAAGTTATTAATTTATAAAATAATAAGATTAGTCTTCAAGGTTTCATTCAATTTTCAATTTTATCCGCAATGTTTAATAATTCAAAACATGTTAAAAAATCAATGGACCACTATAATACTAAAAAAAATTATTATTATTTTTAGTTAATTTTCATTTTCATTTTCACTTGAAACGTTCTCTTCCTTGTTATTATTTGTATTATCGATTTAGTCCTTAATTAAAAATTCTCAAGAATTCCTGAATTCTTTCTAACCAGAGTTCAAATTGTCTCAAAAGAACTTCTAAATTTACTCCTAAATCATCCAAACCGTCCATCTTCAGATGGAGATGTAACATTCAAAACAATCCATTGGTGATTAAAATTTTCCAAAATATACCCCAAATTTCTTGAAGAAATTCATTACAGTATTAATTCTCAATCCTTTCATTCCTAAACTATTTTATGCCAAGAATCTAAGCTATAATAAGTTCCACTTCGTCAAATAGTGTCCTAAAACCCAAATAACCACTAAAGCCCTTTAAAAAAAGCTCAAAATTGAAGATGACATTGATATTTAATAATAAGGGTAAATTACACATTTAATACTTAAACTATTAATTTTGGTTTGTTTTAGTACCTAAACTTTTAATTTTTACAAAATTATGCACAATGTTTAGTTTTTATTTCATTTTAGTACATGTTATTAAAAATTTAATGCGTTCAATACCTAAACTATCACTTTTGGTCTGTTTTAGTACTTAAACTTTTAATTTTTTTCAAAACTTAACGTTAAATTTGAGCGAGTGTACTAAACAAAAAAAAAATAAACTTTAGGTATAATTTTAAGTTTATGTACTAAAACTAATAGTTTAGGTACTAAATACATAATTGACCCTAAAAATAAAGATGTGAATCCCTTTTTTAAGGCTTGAAAAAAAATGTTAAGAAATTGGTTTATTATCTTGAAAATAGGTTTCAAGCAAAATCCTTTTCTTGAAACAAAATGAGAAATCAACAACTTCGGACATCTTAGAGTGTTTTATGTTGTATTTTCGAACACATTTCCGTTCATTAATGTTTGGAAAACAAAAAATCAATGGGAAAAGATGCAAAAATCTCGGAGAAAAATGACGAGAAATTTGAGCAAAAACCGGATAATTATATGTTATTTTTTAAATCAATGAATCACTCAGATTAATTAATTATTTTGTTAACCACACACCAGTTTGGTGTCGATGCCCCAACATTTATATTATTATTATTATTATTATTATGTCTTGAGAATATAAAGAATTCATTTGAAAATTTTCAAAACAATGAGGTTGCCATTGTAAAAGAAGATAAAATTGAAAACTAGTAAACTTTTGAAGATTAATCTTGATATTACGTCTTAAGTAAAAGTACTAAAACTTGCACCTGAATTGAGCACTGAAATCGTTAAATTATTTTAATAAAACTATTTTAATTATTTTTTTAAATACATTATAGTTTTATTTCAAATCAAATTAATTTTTATCTAAACTTAAATTGAGGACGGATTAAACGATTTCGTAGTAAATAAATTATTTTATTTTTTGAAGTTTTAAACTCGAGTAAAAAAATATTATAAGAATGAACGTTTAATATTAAATTATTTAGAGATATCTTTAAAGCGATATATATTATATTATCCCATATTAATAATATAATAAAAAAACCTAAACTGAAGCTTAGAAAATCAATGGCCATTCTTATTTGATTTGGGTGGGTCCCGCACAGCTTTTGTTTTTTCCAAAAAGGAAAAAATCGTGACGGAGATCTTACAAACGGGGAATGAATCGAACGGTCACAGTTGAGAGTCAAATGCCTCTCTTGGAAGGTCTCTTTGACCACATATCCCCTCTAACACGCTTTCATAAAAATATAATGGAAATTAATATTCTAAACTTTGACTGTCCTGTCCTTTCCATAGATGGGGCCCTTCGTTGAAAATCTAGGTGCAACTCTCCGTTTTACCCTTTTTACCCTAGAATCTTTATGCATTTTCCTTTTTTGCCACTACCCATCATATTTTTTTTAGCAAATTGTACTTTTTTAAACTTTGTTTTTTATACAAAATAATTTTGGAGTCATTAATAATATTAAATAAATATATATTTCTAAAAGGTCTTTTTAATCAAAATCTAAAAGTTAGTTTATATATTTGAAAAGCATTTTTAATCTTCATTCCATTATTTTGTACGTTCACTTTATAATCTATTTTTTCATTAAGATAATTTCATGATCAATAAATTATTAATGGGTTAATATATTCTTATGAAAAATAAAACAATTTACTTGAAAAAATTTAATTTAAATATTATTTTTATCCAATTATATTAGAATTCTCTTAATCTGGTGATTAGGTATAGTACACCCTTAAAGTCTAAGTTCAGCACATAATTAAGGTTTTTTTTTTGTAATTTTTTTCAAACTCTATTGTTACAGTATGATCTAAAAATAATATTTTGTCCAAATATTTCAACCTCGTATACATAGTGTAATGGTTAGGCGTTGGAAATGTTTTTTTTTCAAGAATTTAGGCTTGATTTTACCAATAGGATGACGACACGAGCATGCTGCCTTGAATGTGTCACGTTAGGGGTTGTGTTTTTGACACTGTAACTTTGATTAAAAAAATTGATTTTAATGATTAAATTAAAAACACGCTAAAGATTTAGTGGTCACTACCGTAAATTATTTTCCTTGAAAAGGAGAAAAGTTTTGAAAATTTATACGAAAGAAGGGCAAAAATGTCAAATCAATAAAATGGGAAGCGTGTAGTTCTAATTTCGCTGTTAGGGTTTTGGTTGGTTTGACCGATGCTCAATTGCTCATGTATGTCTATTTCTCTCTGTTAATTTTTTTATAGTTATTATTTTCTCTCTGTCTTTCTTCCTAATAATAATAATATTCTGCGCATATTTTGCCTACTTTTCTCGCTTTTGCTCAATACCTCTCACTCTTGAACACCTTTTCCTCATCAGCTTTCTTTGACTTGCAAACTTGCTCCTCTCCTCAACTTATCAAACAAGGATTTCTGGTTTTCTTCATTTTTCTCTATATTTTTTGCCACTCTCAGTTTTGGCTTGCATGACCTGCTTTCGTAGGTTTGATTCTCACCTTCTTTTTGTTCTTTTTTTCCCCGCTGTAAACCAATGAAACTTCGTTGATGATTTCTGGGTTTTTTTTTGTATAAAAGTTGTGTTTTGCCTGTTTTCATTTTATTTTTTTATACTAATCATGTAGATGAGAAAATTCTAATTGTTGATTGGTTGGTGAGCGAATTATGTTTCCCCCCTTCAGTTTTGGATTATTCTGGATCTGGGTTTGAATTTTTTACTCGGATGCTGGTTGACGAATTTTCTATTTGTTTGTTAGAAGTTTATGTTTGCTGATTTGGGCCAATAAAAATGGCTTGCGGAGCATCAGTGTTTTCTGTGGCTGTGATTAATGTTGCATTTTCCCTGTTTAGGGATCCATGGCTGTGATTTTATCAGTAAATATGTAGTTGAAATTAGCTTATTCACTAAATTATTTGGGAGTTCATGGAATTTGATGCCTTTAAAAACTGGGTTTTGAATGTGTCACAAGTAAATCCATGTAAAGGTTTGTCTTGATTTAAAAGATTTGAACTTTGAACACTTCTATTTGACCAAGGTTTAGTTTAGCTTTTTAATTCGCTGCCGTAGAATCTGTGAAGTCATCGGGTTGAAGATAAATGGGGGGCGCGGTTCGACGTGGAATCGATGGAAATTACGATGCAATCGTCGTTTGGACATGTTTTATTGCATATGATTTTACAATAACCACTCCGTGTAACTTGTTAAGGACTATATTTTATCTTAATAAGACATTCAATAGCTTGAATATTGTGGTTTAGGCACCGAGCATTTTAGATTATTAATGTTATTGGTGGTATGAATTATTCATCCAATACTATAAGACAACTTTGTTACTCCATTCCCTTTGCTTCTTTCATGCACCCAGTTTGCAATGGAGTCCCGATGCGTATATGTTGGTGTTAATTATGTCCTAACCATTTCAAAGCTTATGTTGATTTGTTTGCTTTCATCTTTGTTCTCTGGCAGAAACGTAGAAGACCTCGACTCGGTTTAGGGGTTTGTACTTTGTATATAAGATGGGTTGTTTTACAGTTTTGAGAAGCAACAAGAAAAAGTCTAAGCAGTCTGTTTTTGTAAAACGCATTGCACATAAGGAGCATATGCCTACCGTGCTGCCTGAGCCCCAAGTTCAGACACGATCACTGCAATCTGCACCCCCAAGTTTTATAACCAGAGTAAAACCGATTCAACCTAATAACAAGGTAACATCCAATAGGGCACGAGCATTATCTGCTCCATCAAGTCTCGATGCTGCTGAGCAAGATGCCCTTGCTTCAGTGGAATTTGAAGAACAGGAAGAGTTTAAGAGTCGTGGAGGATTAGTGAAGGAACAGAAGTCATCTATTCCACAGCCTCTTCCGCTTCCATCTCCCAATACTACTGTGCTGAAGACAATGGGAAGTTTCAAAACAGGGAATGTTAGTGGCCCACTTTTTGCTTCTGGACCATTGCCTCTGCCTCCCTCTGGAACACTTCGAAACTTTGGTTATGAAGAAATCGCAGCTGCTTGCCATCATTTCTCTTCTGATCGATGCACATCTGAAGGTCTATCTTCTGTTATGTATAAGGCTTCCTTCGGAGAGGAAACATTGATTTCAAAGAAGTTTGAAGCTACAGTCACTCGCCTTCATCCATCTACTCAGGTACAAAATTTCTACCAATGAAATTTGTCCGCATAATTTTTCATAATCCTTCAACCCGAAACTATTATTTTGTTCAAGTTCCCTTAATTTTGGAAACATTTGAGGGTATTATATTTTAGAGTCTCACTGTCTTATTTCTCTTCATGTAGGGTTTAAGGGACTTCATAAATGAAGTAAATACTCTTGCATCATTGCAACATCCAAATCTCTGTAAATTGCTTGGATATCATGCACGTGATGGTTCAGAAAAAAGAATGTTGGTCTATGAGAGGCTGTTTCATGGAAGCTTAGACGGGCTTTTATATGGGAGATCGGATGGACCGCCGCTTGATTGGAATACCCGAATGAAAATTGCTTTATGTTCTGCACAGGGTCTTACTTTCTTGCATGAGGAAGGACCATTTCAGGTATAGTTCAAATCTATATCGTCATCTATTTTTTCGGATGATGAAACTGAATGACACGAGTAATGTGCATGTTTGGACTTGAGCTTTGATCATGTGATTGAGATAACCATTCTGTTTGAAATAAGGTCTTTTATTGATTAGTCTTCCACGCATGTTATGAATCATTCCCGTTCTTGCTATACATTACTGTGTCTAATAGTAACTTTTGGAGATTTGCTTTTATCGTTTTCCGAGTTCTATTCAAACTTCATACAGGCGTAATTTACATAAACGTCCTATCATATGCAGGCAATGTACAATGAATTTTCAACTGCCAACATACAGATTGACAAGGATTTCAGTGCGAAGCTTTCAGGATATGGTTGTGTCGGTCATATCCCGGAGACAGAACAGATCTCCAGTAATTCAGTTGTAAGTTACTTTTCTTCCATGCAATTGATCTTTAAGTTTTTTTTATTATTATTATCTATAGTTAATTCTTTGAAGAAGAAAAATTGTGGTGTTATGAGTTTATCTCAATTCTCTACACATCTACTTTTTTGAGTTAATATTGTCGCTCTCTCTCTATGCAGGCTGTGGCAAATATCTCTGTAGAGACTTTGGCGAGAGGACGGCTAACTCCGAAGAGCAATGTTTGGAGTTTTGGAATCGTTCTACTTGAATTACTCACTGGCCGGAAGAACCTTGACAATCGTCATCCCAAGGAGGAGAGGAACCTAGTTAAGTGGAGCCGGCCATTCCTAGCTGATGATTGCAGGCTGTCACTCATCATGGATCCTCAGCTCAAAGGTCGATTTCCTATGAAAGCTGCCCGTACAGTGGCTGACATTGCTCAAAGATGTCTCCAGATGGACCCATCAGAAAGGCCGACCATGAGAACCATAGTTGAGCATCTCAAAATCATCCAAGAAATGAAATATTCATGTCGGTTTCCTCTGCAAGATCCAGCAGCAATAGCCGGAAAACAGATGTCAAGGTCACCGAGTCTTAACGGGATCATCACTCCTGCCCCCAGGACAAGTTTCTCGCCATCACCGCCTTCGGGGGCCAGGATGTCCTTTTCTCCCACAGGACCACCTAATTTGCCATTGACGCTTCCCCCACGTGCATGTTCTTCCACCATGTCATTAGAGGAGCTTGAGAGGCAAGGAAGTCAAAGATCATCATCGGCAACCCTTAGAAGGGCTAGTGTGGAAGGATATTGATTGCTTTGTAATATTAGCATTTTTTCATTTTTTTTTCTCCTTTTTAAATTCAACACAACATATAGAAGATAAAATGTGTGGTTCTTCTACCGTCCTATCCTTCTAGATATCGAAACAGAAGAGGATGCTGTTTTTGTAGATAAAGAGTGCAAGCCTGAGCTTAAATATACTGTTATATGTATGTTCATAATCACTAATATCAAAGTCTACTATACAGTAAAGGTATTTTTGTTGTGATACATAAGTTCTTGGGGATTGAAAACCCCAATGCCAAACGCCTTATGGATTTTATACGAGAAAAGAACACCAAACGAAAGGGGTTAAAAGAATTTAAAACAAAACAAACAGAAATAGGAAGTGCCTTACTGTGGATCCTTGTCGTTCTCACTATCATCGACTTTGTCGGATCTCGTTTCACCATTTTCTTTGTCCTTACCCTCAGGTTCTTCGGTGGCAGAAGGGAAACAACTATTGTCCTGTTTTTCACCCTCCCCAGTCCCACTCGTGCTCCGTGGTGGAGCATTTGACGCGGAGTTCCCTTGCTGCTCATATAGTAAGCTTGTAAGACCATTCTCCTTCAGGTATGTCTCCAATGGAAGGGTTGCCACTTGAACAAGACTCATCATGGTCGGATGATTGGGACTTAAATGAGAATCATCCTCACGGTCAGGATCACAGTTCAAGTCTATCTGTCCCTTGTTAGCTTCAACCAACTTGGTGGTGATCTGACTCTTGGATTCTAACTCATTAACCGATCTTGCTTCATTCTTGGAAGGATTCAGGTGTGTTGATGATAAATGTTTAGAGCTGCTGTCTACTTCGGCTTCTTCATGGGGACCCCATGCTTGCTGATTCCTCTGAGCAATCATCTCTGCTTCACGCTCTGACTGACGCTTCTTCTTGCGCATTGTGAGGGTTTTAAAACGACGTTTAACCGTCATGCACACAACGCATGTGCATGTTGGCTTGTGTTTTCCCTTCCCGCTCGGTGGCTGGATGCATACAATGCAAGAGCAACCAGGACGGTGCCTAGGGTGTTGGTTGTAGTCGCCAATGACGTTGTGCCTGAATTATCTACATTGTCTCCAAAGATTGCAGCATTGGCCAAAGCATCCAAACCAGATGATTCATTCTCTGGGGTTGGCCTATGGAATGCTGCTATTCTCCTTTTTTTGAAATCTATGCATAAAATATGGCTTAATAGCTATCATTTGTAGATAGTATCTAGAAGGCAACGAAGCTGACTAAATATGCAATCAAATCAAGAAAAAAATACTAATAATATATAGCCAGTAACAGTTTGTATGCAGAATACGCATAATAAAAGATAATTGGATCAAGGAATATGCAACGACACATGGCCAACCTACACATGTAAAAACTCTTAATAGTGAAAGATAATTTTGTGGGATTAGAATGGCTCTATTGTTCTCTAGAAGAGGACTATATACTGAGAATGTACCTCGGTTCAATCTAAGAAGATTTTCTTGCTCCCTTGGGGTGAGTTCATCTGGTGCAGAACATGATGACCTGAAAAACAAATGCAGAGGAAATGAAAAGATTCCTTCAGAACTCATTAAAGAAAAAAAATAGGAATGCACGAGAAATATGATTCTGAAAATGATGACCTGCTTTGGTCCCAGTTATTGTCTGCACACGTCCATTTGGGTGGAAGAAGAATATCAACAGGCAACCTTCTCCATTTAGAACAACTATCACACTGAGCCCATTGCTCTTGTCCCCTGAAGATCAAAATTAGTAGTTCAAGACAAGATAATTATTATCATAAACTTGAGAAACAGAGAGATCCTTTCAAGCACAGTAACTTATGACAAAATACTTGTAGACAAAACAAGTTGCTTTACTGATAGAAATAGAGTCTATCTTTCCAAAATGAGCCTTTGGTATAACTTATGACAGATCATTATGCATGTGAATGAATATTGTTGAAATTTGGACGAGTTATTTTTCGGATTGTAGATTACTAAATATTCTAAAGGAACTAAACAGAGACGTGAAAAAACTGAAATGCAGAGGAAAGCACCATTATAAGTTTGGGTTTGGCGACATGCTCACGAAAAAGTATTTAATTACCTATTATTCCTAATATTTCCTCCTGCACATACATTGTGTTATTAAATTCTTATCGCGTTAACCTTCACATGGGTTTAAAAATAAATGCATATGCTCACCCGGTTGAACGGACAGCAAATATACTCCTCTTGCCAAAAACTGGAGGTTCCTGTGTGAAAAAAACATGCATAAAATGTTACGTTGCAATCACATTGCATAAAATGTCTTAATTAGAGCATAATGGATCCTAGTTTTCTTCTATCTATTAATAGAAAAGATTTTTCATAGGTTTCTTCAATCTATTAATATGAAATAATTTCACTGTTCAAATAGATTGGCAATTAGTCATCTGAGACCCAATTTTTTTTTTTTATAAGATATGAGGTCTCGTTAAAAACTCCATTCATACTTCTTGGCAAACCGCAAGGTAGCCAATAGGTAGCGGAAGGGGGAGAAGAGTACCTCATGTTTATTAAAAAAATTCCAGAAAATCGTACAAAATTTCACTGGTCAAATAAATTGGCAATTAGTCATCTGAGACCCAAAATTAAATTGATAGGATGAGCCAAGTGCAACAGAACAGCCAAACATACAAGCATTGCTATACTCAAATATTCCAGGAAATGTACTCACATCATATTCTTCAAAATCATGATCCTCAATCGTGACAACGCTTGGCTTGATACTTGGTGGTGGGCGGAGCAAATCCTGTGTTTCTTCCCAAGTAAGTTTCACCTCCAAAGCATCCTGACTGTCAATCAACAATCTCTTGCTTTTGGACCCAATATTTCGTGTTCTTTTTCTCTCTGGAGTTAACATCGACGGTAGTAATAATCCCTCCCTTATCATGTCCTCATGCTTCCCAGATTTATTCCAGCTAATATCACCAACAGTTGAACTCAAATGTTTTGATAGTGCGTTTAAGTGTGAATTGGTGCTTCCCTTTAGTGACTGAAGAAGGCCAGAGTAACCACTAATTATAGGCAGATTCTCAAAAACACCCGAAAAGTAACTTTCACTTGAAAGAGTGCCATTAGTAATGGCAGATGGTACGGTTTCCTGTTTATTTAATCATATCAATAAATGATCAAGTTTGCTAACATGGAAATTGATTGTCACTTTACCTGCACTGCAGCATTGTTTGTTGCTTTACGAAACCCCATAACAAGCTTCCCTTCTGGATCCATGCGGCTAAATGTTACTGTTCAGAGAGCCATATGCAGTGTTAGTCAATGGAAGCTAACAACAAAATATTGAGTTGCTCCTTAATCAGGTTCAGGATAGTACCAGTATCTCCAGCCTGCAACTGCATAGACTGCATGCAAGGAGTCACGCCCTCCAAAACATACATCCTACTGTTGTTATTAGGCCAGAATCTAAACTGAAACACCCATTCTTTTCCCTTTATATCTTGAATTCTTAGAGGAAGGCCCTCTGGTTGAGATATGGGGGGAAAATAAGCCTGCAATAGATACTCTTTTTAACTGATGTGCAACAAGGCTTCTCAACAGAGAGTAAATAAAATATCAGTTGCAAGGGTAGGATGGTGGAATAGGACAAACTTCAGCACATGCTTTTGGCAGAACCAAGCGACCAATCCGTCCAGCATCACTCGCACTCAGAACCTTTTCAAACAGTGGAACAATGGTGGAATTTGAACTAGAAAATTACACAGGTTAAGGATTTTACTGCCCTAGTTAATAGATAGACAATATTTTTAGTTGGGCAGTTAATGCATGGTTGTGCATGTAAAAATAAATTAAACCAATAATTGAACAGTGGTGGATACTCTCCAGAAATTTGTTGTAATTCTTGGTCAGTAATCCTCGGCCAATAACGAGGAAGCAACTGATTTCGTCCCCGTCCCTCTACTGGATGCCGAGCAACACGTATCTGGGGTACCGTGCTCGCATTCACCTCCAAACCTGCTGCAAGCACTGGCTTTGGTGGCTTGGGTAGAAGATGGAGAGATTTTGATGCCTGCTGCAAGACTGAAGACATCTTGCCTTTTTCATCTACAACAGAACCAGGAAAGACATTTTGGTTCCCTAATGAACTGCCCAGCGAAATACTTAAGTTTGTTTGTGGCAATGTCTCGGAAATATTAGCTTTAGAAGTGGTGGGTTTCAAAGCTTGAACTGATCCGTTCAATGTTTGATTAGTATTTGACAAGCATGTGCTTCCAATGTCTACAGCAGAAGAAAAAAGTTCCTCCTGTTTCATTTGCCCCAAAGGCCTACTTGAGTCATCATTGTGAAGCTGAAGCAATTGTCTCAGTCCAATGCTTTCTGCATTGTTGTTCAACTGTATAAGCCTTAGGTTTTCATTGCCAATGCCACTTAATTGGTTGTCTGCTGTGATTGAGTGCAACTGACCAGCATCACCTTTCACTATACCAAATCCATTAGGCTTTTCATCTTCAATCATCTGTATGAAAATGTTTTAAAAGCATCATAAATATCTGAGCTTTTACATGTAAAAATTTAAACATCAGCTAGTAGGAAATCCTAAGCCACTTAATTGGTTGTATGAATATGTACAAGAAAGTATCAATGGTATGAACAACAGAAACAAACTAAATTATAGAACTAATATAACAAAGATGTAAATCTGAAAAGGGAAATATCTTAACAGATAACATTCATTTTTCCTCTCATACTGATATCACTCACTCCCTAATGATTATCCTCAGTTATCCTCACCAGAGTATGCTAATCCTAAGCTATTGTACATGCAGGGAAGCATACTACTAAATTGCGGTTGTGGTGGCCATTGCGGTTGCGGCTACGGATGTTGCGGACGTTACAACAGGATTTATTTCCTAAAAATAACTACGCTTTTATGTTGTGGTTTGCAATGTCGCGGTGACCTTGAAAAATGCTACGATGCGGCGTTATACTGCCTTGCGGCCGCAATTTAATACCATGCCCAAGGCTAGTTAGATTAGAATCATTAAATGCCAAGGCTGTCCAGTGAGAATGTCTTTTCCTTTTAAGTTTTAACAATAAAAATAATACAACAATTTGCAATAGATATGGCGCCATCTTTATTAAAAAGTAAAAA